ACGTGTTAGATATGTACTTTACAATTGGAATGTCTTTAAAGCTGTCAAATGGGATATTAAGTTTACAATCCTCAAAATATCAGATTTGTTGAGATATTTATATCCTTATCGAATTCATTATAAATACTGCCTAATCACCAATCAAAGACATCTTTTAAATGAGCAAAATACACAGAACTTAGAAGGTTGTAATAAATGTATCTTAAAATTCCTGCCCATAGATACAATGTTTTTACGTGTGTTCTATTATTTTTGAATTATTAAGTTATAGAAAATTGTTTTGTAACTAGTATTCTTGTGTGAACTTTATTTATTACTTGTCTGTTTTTAGTTGAAAGTGAATTTTTTTTATTGTTTTTTATATTTGTTATGTAACGAATAAAATTGTATCACATTCTATGATTTGGTGACAAATCCCACAATAATCCAGACTGATGTATATAGACACATTTTTATTTTGTGATTAAAATAAATGGATTTTTCAATTACGAAAGTATGAGAAGCATACATGTCGCGCGCAGTTATCTAACATGACAAAATTTTACTTTCTGTATGATGTTCTCTAAGCTAGTTTGTAATTTCAGACATTGATTTGATAACCACGAGTTGAGCCCTGAGAGACTAGATCTGTTTCTGTAGCAACCGTGACGCTATATCCAAACGTTCGCTACATTGTTTCCCATTGCGTTCTCGCGGTACTTGTCTGTTTCCCACCAAAGTTCTGCCTCGTGTTAGTCGCGTGTCACTCCTAATATGGAATGACAGCGTTATGTTTCGTTTGTATGCGCCAATCATTAGCGTTGTTTTATTTTCGGAACGTTTTTGGCATGATATATTCTAGAGTACAAACACGTGTTTGGCACTTCTCCGATTAGCTGTCACCGAGACAAATGCCGCTCTAACGTTGACAATTACATTAACCAGGCAAAGCGCTGTTGTGAGAAGTCCGATTCAGGCCGTCGCTGTAATTCCTTCTATGGTAGCTTCGCAACTTGATGCTCGTTATGCACACCCTCCTTTCTATGCTCTCTATGATGCCAACTCCTCATGAAGCTATTATTTAGCGATCTATATTTTATACCAAGAAGTATTTGCTGTACAACGTATTGATGTTCATGTTGAGTACAAATAAACCAGTTTGAATTATACCTCACGTCTGTTCAACTCAAGAAAACACAACGCAATCGATGTCCCTTTCAATAACAATTCCGCATGATTAGTCAGTTGGTTTTATGTGACGAAAAGAACACCCCAACGCCTAGTTTTGCGATATAAACTTATCCACCACAATACATATAAAAATAAGATTCAAATCAGTCTTGCATTCAGGCAGAAAATCATGTTTAATACCAAACTCAAATTTGGACACCTATATTTCCCATATTTATTTCAAAAAAATTTGATCAAAAGTAGTACGTGATGGGATATAAAGTCCAACTAGTCCAAAATCAGTAAAACATGAAACTATGGAAAATGCTGTTACCAAAATATTTTGGACAGAGAAAAGATAGCTTTGATATGATTAACTAATGACAGCAAATAAATATATACCTGTAATTCTCTGGCCTTGAGTTCCTCAGTTGTTCTCTCATCTGGTGCCATAGTGGAAGGCGGGAAATTAAAATTACTGTTAACAAATAACAGAAATAATTAGGATACAAAAGTACATTATCAGAACTGCTTACGGAGTGAATTCAAATATTGCACCAACATTTTTACATTTTCTGTAATTCTCCTTTACTTCGATGATAATTTTGTACAAAACTGGAAGACATTATATACAGTTTTTGATGAACTAATTTTGTTGATTTCATTCTGGATTGAATTTATTGTGGAGGATTACAATAGTTCACAATGGTTGTAAAAAGGTTAATTAGGGTAGTAATAAGGCTGCTTGATACACATATAAACAGTGTTCAGCTAAAGTGTAAATATGGGCAAGTAAAGCATCGTTTTGCGTAAAATCGTTTGAAAATTTGTTTGTGATATAATATTGTATACTTACTTAGTCATACACATTTCCATAAAACATTTCAACATTGGATACTCTTCCCACGATTTGTGACCTGTAAATAACAACATGTTATTTGCAATTATAGTCAAAATACATTACTAACTAAAAGAATTAAATATTCTGATTAATTATTAATGAAGTCATATATAAACATGAATGATAAAATCAGTGGTGACTGATCTCATGTTAGACTCAGAAAACGAAAACAATATTCAGGTGAATTTGCGTTTTTAAAATTGCAATCTTATTTTGTTTTTCATAAAAATTGAATTTTTATGTATTTTTTTTTATTCTGAAAAAAATGAATATTCTCCTCACTCTAGGGCAAGCTAAAATGCCCACTCACAGTGTTCATTAGTCCTTGCGAATACAAAACAGAAACCAGGGACAAGCTAGTGAAAGTCTTATAAGCAGTATATTTAGATATATAATTATATATAGATGTTGTAATTTCAGTTAATTTCATCTTCATTTACTCATTAATATAAATTACAAGCATATAATGAACATATAAAGATGCAATATGAGATGGAGAAACCCTTGTCACTGTACATAGATGTACACCTTGCTATGCAAAGTAATACAGCCCTTAAAAACAGTTCTAAATAGCATGTAATGAAGTTGACTAGATTAAACTTACTTAAGGCCTTAAGTAAGTGTTAAGTGTTCCTGGAGTGGTGAAAAAATGTTATCACCCCTTGTTACCGTGCACCACCGTTTAACAGAAGTTGGCCCCTATTAAGGCAACGGCGTATACACTCAGCCACAGCTCGAAGTTTTTTGAGCTGCACAAAATATTGCGAGCGGTGAGGAGCGGGCAATTTTCCCCTCCGGCAAAGTTCACCACCGCTCTAACAACGCCCAGTCAAGTTTGGCACCGCTAGATGCAAATTCGTGGACGCTTGGGTCTGCTAGGCCAACGCAGAAATCTTGAACGCTGGACCACCACTGCTTCGCCAGCTTTGCTCGGCCGGTATGCCGCTAAAAAAACTTTAAAACTCAGCTGACCCAACGCACACATGCGCGGAACGCCCATGTTTTCAATTTTTTTCCCATTTTGTGTGCGGTGACGAGATTGTCTAAATTCCGCCCCTCTCCCTATTGTTGAAGGAACGCTCCAACAAAGTTCGGGCGGTGTGACCGGGCCTTTAGTGGCCCAACTATACCTGTGAACAAGTGATAAAAACTCACCTATATTTTTAGGATTGAAAGCTGACACCAATAATAAAAGTAACCAGCCTTTCCAATATAAATTTGATATTGCTAGTTGAGGTGCCTGATATCTAAAAAGTAACAAAACAGTGAAGTGTGTAATCTTGTTTTCATCACAGTATTGTCAAAACAATAGGCTTTGATAACAGATTAGCAGCTAGGGAGTTCATATACAAGTTTTTCCAAGATTAATTAGAAAATAGGAATCGCAAATAAAAATCAAAGAAAGCTTAGAAAGAACTCCCATGTGCTGAGAGTATTGGAGACACATTAAATATAATTTGAAATTACTTAGCTGAAAACTAATTATGCAAATCAGAAAATTAATATGACCAGATTTGAGTGTAAAACTAATGAGGTCTGCGCAATGTAACAGAAAATCTATGTCTCCAAGTTTAATTGAAATGTGATTAGAACCAAAAAATTATGAATTATTATGCTTATTAGGGAATTAATATGAACAGATTTTTACCCCAAACTAATTAGGTTTGTACATTGTCCTAGAGCATCTTTGTACTAAGTTTCATTGAAATGGAATAATTAGCACCGTGAAAACTCCAAAATTTCGACCCCTCTAAAAATTTGACCGCCTATTTATTTGCCGGGTTTCGGTGTTTTATTTACCTCCAAATTTTCGACTCCACTAAAAATTGCCGACTCATTCTTATTCGAAAATTGCGACCAGTTTTAGTTTCCCCC